ACGAAGACCTTGATGCAAGCATAGCTGATATGGATGGTAACTATGCTTGTGAATAATCCTTTGGACAGAAGTTCTGCATATATCAGTTTCTGCTCCAATTTGCCGTGCACTTAAATGGGGATTTTCCTGCAACTTTAATAGAACCTCCAACTGATTCTCCTCATTGGTGATACTTGGATTATTTATACATTTTTACTATATTTCACTGCTCCACTTGATTCAAAACGTTCTCGTAGTGTGGAAAATGTTTCCAGCCTTGGATGTCGCATATTAGGGTACCGTTGCTTATAAATGCGAGATGCTAGGAAACTATTTCTTTGGGCTTCGCCCAAAACGATCACCATATTCACGATTTTTTCTTTAGAAAAATTCCTTTTTTAAACACGTTCTTATTTTAATGCTCACAAAGCTAATTTTGACAGTTTTTAACTAATCAACAATTTATTTGTTTCCAAGGATGATGCGATATTTTAGGGAATTAAGCCGTTCCATAAAAGACGTGCTAATAACCGAAAACTAGCCGTAAAAACCCTTGTGTGTCTAGTATAAAAAAAGCTTATAAAAAATCAAATCCAAACTTGCACAAATATACAGAAATTTTTGAGAAAAAGTACGCGTTTTTGACCACCCTGTATGAGCAAACATGAAAATTCGAAAAGTGACAAATAAGATAAAAGCCGAGGTGTTCAAGTTTTTTTTGATACAAAATTCAGCACTCCGAATTTCAAAATGGCGGATTGAGGGGTTGCCGAGGTGGACGGTTTTTCTGGACAAAACACCTTACATCTCAGTACCTAATTACCAAAGCCCCATAGTTTGTTATATCAATGTTCTTCTTTTGAATTGGTTTATCCAAATATGCAGTAAAATTTGAGGCATTCCATTTGAAAAATAACAACTTTAATATGTAGGTCGAAATTGGGACACCCTGTATAATGGCCAATATCTTAGAAATGTCACCTCAAATGTCATGTATAACATCTCATAAATAGGTTTTCCCAAAATGTATTTGTTCCACCCATGGATATGAGGGTTTTCCAAGAAGTGAATTTTGTTCGAGAAACAGAGCTTTATCACTGTGGGAACAAACTTATATTATGTGAGCAGTCAGAATACTCGAGTGTTTGTATTGATTATTGCCTAGAGCATACTATACGCGTTAGATTCCCAAGAAGGGTGAACACCATGATGTTAGATATTTGGGGTGTGTGCTGCTTCATGAAGTAAGGCTGAAATTGAATAATTGAAGTAGTTTTTGTCAGCCTGCAGCGACTAGCTTAACGCGTTAGTGTAGTCTTTGTAATCGTCCGTAAGTACAAAGTTTCCGTCACTACTTCGAAACATTACTTGCTAGCAAAGCAAGGCGGCACCGCGTTAGAGCCGGGAAGAACTATATAATTAGATTTAAGTAATGGCTGTTTTCGCCAGAGGCAACCACACAAGTTGCTCCAGAAATCCGACAAAGTTGGGGCGGCGCCGGTTATATGTCTCCTGCTGCTTCATCCGTTTCCTTGGCGGCTTAAGCTTGCGAATGTTTCATGTTTATAAACAGAAAGAGATGATTTAGTATTATGTATGCATTATAACTTCTGTCTAGGTACATTTGCTTTTCATGTCATGCCTTCGAAAGCTTACCATATGGGAGACTCACTTTCGAAAATGAGATATTTTTTTTAGATGTTAGATGTTATATACATTACAGAAAACTATACCACTAATTTTCGCCGTTCTGACTGTCTGTCTATCTGTCCATTAATTCTCGGCTCCTCGACATATAGCTCCGGTACTATTGCACGGATTTTAATGAAATTTTGAGGCAAGATTATTAAAGCATTACTACTCTGACAAGGCCGAAATGCTTTGTAGTCTCTGACAATCGATCTAGTCGCTACATAGCTACAGGCACATAACGAAAAAAATCAAAATCGCTCAAATTTCATTATTTGAAATTCCACCGACCCCTGCTCATTCTCGGAACTGTTTTTGAATGGCTAAGAGAGGGGTGCGGGTTATCGGAAACCCTAAGCACGTAATAGACATACTAGTAATATAGCTTCCGTTTGTCCCTATACCGACGGCCAACCTTGGACAGATTGATGTTTCATGCTATTCAACAACTCCTCAGCATGCTATGAAGTTTATAGAAATAAGCGCACGTAGTGCAATCTGTTGCCAGAATCGACCACTGTGAAAGCAAGCTGACTATTGGGACTGTATCTCAGTTCGCAACTAATAGCACGGAACAACTGTCCATGATTGGTCGTCTATGGCCGGATGAATAAAAGATATATTACTAGCTTATTCAACGGCGAATAGACCGTATCCATATAGAAACAGGATCGGCGGCATCTAGTGCCATAGTGGTGACCCGGCTGACAATGCAAACTGGGATGCAGTTCCAACAGTCAGCTTGCTGTTTTCACTTTTGCAGTGGTCGATTCTGTAGATTGATCTTTGTGCTGTAAAGGCTGTGCAGCCATTTGCAGGTCTTGAGGTTAAGTCTTTTGCATAGTTCAATATATACTAAGTGACATATAAATCCGAACACCCAGTTTAAATGGTTTTATTTTAATAAAAGTTGGAGAATGTATTTATCTTACTGTAAATAACAAGTGAAAAAATTTTCAGCCTCATCAGTTGGACATTCCGGTTTTTATACTGCTTTTTTTTTAATTCACTAAAGCTCTAAAAATGAATATTTCAGCCGCAGTAAAGAATCAACGTTGGCGGATTTTGGTTCTTGACATCCTTTACGATCGGTTACGATGCCTAGAGTACGGAGACCTGTACGATTTCGTCAACTTAGTGAGTTTGATAGGGGCCGTATAGTGGGACTTCGGGAAGCTGGACTTTCTTTTCGGGCAATTGCAGTTAGAGTGCAAAGAAGTGTAGACACTGTGGTTAGGTGTTGTCAGGCATGGCTTCGAGAAGGCCGTACGCAAAGAGCAAGGGGCACTGGACGCCGCCGTAGAACAACAGACCGTGAACATCGCCGCCTAAGATTATTGGCCTTAAGGGACCGTTTCTCCACTACCAGGTCCATTGCAAATGAATGGTTTGCAGAACACGGAAGACCTATTGGCATGCGAAGTGTTTACCGACGGATGAGAAGTTTTGGCTTGTTTTCATACCGGCCACACTGGGTCCTCCCTTTAACTCGAGGACACCGACGTAATCGCCTTAGTGGTGCAGACAATGTCCACTTTGGGATCAGGAATGGAACAGTATTGTCTTTAGTGACGAGTCTCGATTTTGTTCAGGCATGCACGATGGTCGTGCCAGGGTTAGAAGGCGACGTGGTGAAAGGAGGAATACACAGTTTTTTGTTGAAAGACATGTTCATCATACTGTTGGAGTTATGGTTTGGGGTGCTATAGCTTATGGTTCCGGGTCACCTTTAATCTTCATCAGAGGTAACATGAACGCGCAGCGTTATATCCACGAAGTTCTAGAACCCCATCTTTTACCCTATCTTGACACCCTGGCAGATCCAACTTTCCAACAAGGTAATGCCCGACCACATGTTGCAAGAGTCACAATAGACTTCTTTCAACATAATGATGTCACATTGTTACCATGGCCACCAAGATCTCCCGACTTATCCCCAATTGAGCACGTGTGGGATATGATGGGTATGAGATTGCTCAATTTGCAACGTCTTCCTCAGACTCTAGAAGCACTTCGAGAGGAGTTGGTGGTTGCCTGGAATGAGATACCACAGGAGGACATTGACCACCTGATCAGAAGCATGCCTAGGCGCGTTGGAGAATGCGTAGCACATCAGGGTGCATCCACGCATTATTAAAGGTCAAAGGGCTTTAAAGCAGTGCAATCATTTTGAAATTTTTATCATTTACTTATTATGCTTCATTAAGTACTTATACAAAATTTTATTAAAATAAAACCATTTAAACTGGGTGTTCGGATTTATATGTCACTTAGTATATGATCTGCATATAACACCAACAAAAAAGTGAATTTACGTGCCACGTAATTCTAAAAACGAACTTTATGTAAACATCCAACAAGAGGTCTATCTTGTAGTGGGTTGATTTCAAGTTTTGGAGATTAGTGATTTTCCCGTTCAAGTTCTCAACCCAATTTTAGAAAGAATTACTAAAAAGACTCACACAACTTTGTAGATCGGGAAGTTTGATTATAAAGTGCTTAGTAAGCCACAGATGAGGATTTTAAGTTTCTCCGAGAGCACAGAACTAGAAAAAATTCGGCGGATCACGACAATGAAGATTTATTTAACTAACTTCTTCTATCTACTGATCCAAAGATCTCACAAATTTACCTTAAAATGAGTCTTAACAAAACAAGCTCAGACTTGATCCTACAGATATAAGTTTACTAAAATACTGAACATGGCCACAAAATAGTTGATGGAATGATCTGATAAACTTGAAAAAAATGTACGGGCAAACAATTGTAATTCATTTAAAAAAGTTGTTTAAACAGATTTGATCGTCTAGATTGTCGTATGGCTGTATTCAGTGCTTAAAATTCTATTCAAAATTACAATTTTTGAGGTTGCCAAGTATCTAAATTAAAGATAAAACCTTGCTCTACAAGATCTTGAAGAGTATTTTGAGACTAGTGTACTTTAAAGCGATTTCATTCTTGTTTCTCTGGTCATAATCGTCTAAAATTTGGTTTTCGCAGAGTGTACATCACGAAAAACCATGTCACTCATTTCCCTTGGTATGTTTCTCTCTCTCTTTCCCTCTCTCTCCCTCTCTCTCCCTCTCTCTCTCCCTCTCTCTCTCCCTCTCTCTCTCCGTGTGTGTGCGTATGTATTGCATTAGTTGTAGGATATCCCACATAATATTTACCAGGGTTGTGGGGACATTATGTACTCTGGGGACATACACGTGTCATCACAGTGTTTCCGCCAGATAACTGCGAAGTTTATTGAATTATTCTATCCAAATTTCGTATCTATTTCGCGGGCTCCTAGGTGACATTGCGTTTGGGCTCCAGAATCATATTCAATTATGGATATAAGCAAGGACGGTTACTGTCCCCACAGCGCCGTTAAAATTCATGTGTGCGATACACCAGACTGTTGCAATACTTGTGAGAACAAAGAATTATCCTGTAAGCTAGCGCCCTCTGCGGTAAATTATTATTCAAGTTCCTGAAAGTTGGTTATCGGGCACAACATACCTGTATAACACATTTCTGCTTTGAGCTGTGGGGACAAATACTGGGAATGTGAATACTACTGTGATTTTAATGGCAGAAAATATCAAACTAGAGAACGGTCATATTGTTGCTCATTGCAAGTACGGAATGTCAACATAAAATTGGAAGTTGGAAATGTCAAGACGGCTGAGCGGCGCCTTGTGATATTTTCTTAAATTGAGTACTCATGAGTACTGTGTGAGTCTAGAATAGAAAATCAGTACGTTTCAAATTAGGGACTTTCAGGTTGTCAAAGTTGAGCGCTTCTGTTCATTAAATTGCTTATATCAACAACTAATCATCAAAGCACTATTGTATGTTCTATCAATGTTCTTCCACTGGAAGGGTCTATACGAATATGTAACATTCCATTAAAACATTTTCAGTTAAAAGAAAAACATTGATATAACATACTATAACGTTTTGATGTTTATTTGAGTTATACGCTATTGAATGTACAATCACGCTTAATGTTGACAGCGTGCCGGTTCGCCAGCATGAACGTTAGCGATTTCATGGAGTATTATAAGACACCAAATGGCGCTTACTCGCTATCTTAGAAATAACTGTTATTTTTACGGTACGGTATTCATACGTGAATTTAATCATCCTAATTTCGCTCGCCGACTTGACCCGTTAAAAAATAAGTAGAGGTAAAGCTCTGAATAAAAATACTCGTAGATCTAGGAAAAAGACATGTCACTCGTTTCTGTCGGTCTGTCTTCCTGCCCGCGAATACTTGGACCACCTAAAAGTTGAGAAGTACTATTCGGATTTTGATGAAATTTTCACAAAAAGTTACTAATACACCAAGAACGAAAAAACTTAATAGTTATATAAAAAAGGGCCAGTTCTGGTGGTGCTATTGGCAAAAGCAAAAAAAATAAAGATAGCTCAAACTTCGTTTTTGGACGTTTTAGAGGCCCTTGGTCATTTACGAAAAATAATTTGTAGGGATTGAAAATCGGGGATGCGGATTGCAAGGGGTTGAGGAGGGAATGTTACAATTTGATGGCACACGTATATTTATAAGTTTCAAACCGCCATTCAACGCAATTATTAGTATGCATTCCACATGTCATACTTCGTACATTTACCCGTAAAACTTAAGAATACCAGAAAAATGTCTTGGCCGGCGTGACAGAGTCTCTCATAGGGATGATTCTATCACTGCCACACGCATGCTGCTGAAATCATGAATGAGTTCATCTAGAGGGGATGGATGGGGTAGGGGAGACGTTGCCAGGTGGACGGTACAACCGTTAGGGCAGGAAAAAGATGTCTATGGACTAATTGCATGGACCTGTTTGACTGACTCACTGCATTTAATTTCTATTTTACACGTCCGTAGGTAACTTTTTACTTCCTAAGCCACTGATAAGGAAGTATGGTAATTGCGAAAAATTACGAAAATGAAATGTTGTTTTTTGGATGTTAGTCACGAAAAATCCATCTCCGTCAGCTGTGAACTGAAGTGCTTGGTAATAAAATGATCATAATCTAACTGATGACAGAATTGCGTGAAAAGTACAGTCAATCTACTTGAACCCATTTTATTCACATTTTTAGGGAACACGCAAGACAAACCTTTTGAATAAGTTACGAGCCGTAGGCACTCATACATATACGCAAATCGATGGCCGAAATTCATCACACGAATTTAACATGTAACATACATTTACCAAAGAAATAATAATATATTCAGTTCTACTCAAACAGTATCAAAAAAGTATGCTTAACTGAGATTAATGACTTAAATCAGTTTCAACATGGATTTCGAGAGAAAATGTACAGAATAATCACATAAAATACTGGGAAAGATACTAAAAAAACTAAGAAACAAGCAGTAGTACACAAAAGAGGAAAGGTAATTTCAGCCGTACCAATAAAGGAAGTAACCAATGGAATAAACTTGCAAATTCAAAAACAGTGTGAAAATCGATGAGAAAAGTAGTGGTAACTGCTTCCCTCATATATGAAGATCAGACACGATAAGAAAAAGGGTTTCCACAGTTCAGCTACACTATCACTGAGGCTAAGCTACGTGAGTATACTAAAATACTTACTACACTACATGCATGGTGGTAACATCAAGTTGTACTTTGTTTAAATTCAATTATGATAGCTGTATTTTTTTCAACTGATCAAATGGACGACAGCGATCAATTTGTATTCCATGAATTCGAAGCTTACGGAACAGAGTTCGCCACGCAGTGTGTTTAATCGGATCCATAAATAAGTGAGATTAAATGCTCAGACATCTATTCATATATCCAAGAAACTCACTTTTCAAAACGCACTGATAAAGTCACCTGACAAAATACAGATTAGCGAGCAACGAAATATCAATGGAAATATATTTCAAGACAGTGGCCAGGATAGTAGCAGTGAATACGTATACCTAGGCCAAAAAACATAAGAGAAAGTATACGAACAAATAGGCACAGGACAATAATACGCATACGAAAAATAACAAAGGAGAACACACCAAAATAAAGATAACCCAAATAGAAACTACCTTAAAAATATCAACGTATTGACCATTGAAAATGAGATTAGTTTTGTATAATTTTCCCAGACATCGCTTAAGTGCTCTATGAGGCTTTTGTAATGAGTTAATCTCGGTTGGCCATGGTGGAAATAGAACGAAATACCAAATATATCACGCTGTAGCCGCGTCAAGGCCTATTTTTTACATGCACTCTAAGAGGGTGGAAGCCACCCAGAAAGTTCACCCCTAAAATCAGATTTCTTTGTATATCTTTGGCTCTATTCAATATTTTTGAAGAAATAAAAATGGAAAATATTAGTTTGAAAAAGCGCAACAAAATTGTACAGTTTACGTTTGCCAGGGTTGCAACCCCCACATTTTATAGTGGCTATCGAGCGTTTTTTTGCGTAAAAAAATAAAAAATCGTCAAATATTAAATGACGGTTTTCTAATAGATAATGATGCTTTTTAATCTAATATTTTATTTTGGGGGTAAACTACCCATAAATACTATTCAAACCATATATACCAAAATACGTCATTTTTTTATATGTTAGCGCAAAATATGAGACACACATTAGCATATTGTGCATTAATAGTAATTGGAGGGATGAAAATCACCCTTAAAAACTATTTTTTTTTGCTAATATCCCTGATTTTTTCAAATGTTTTGTAATGAAAAGAATATAAGTTTTGTTTGCGAGGGTTACAACTCCTATTTTTCGAGAGTTTCTTTCCCGTGAAAAATCGGAAAATTGTCTTACAAATTTCAAATAATTGTTTTCTAATATAAAATGATGAAAATCAATAGACGCGTTTCGGTGTAATCTAATATTTTATTTAGGTGGTAAGCTAACATTAAATAATATTCAAACCATATAGACCGAAATGCGTAATTTTTTCATAGGTTATGGCCTGACGCGAAATATTAGGCATTCTGCATTAATGGTAATTGGACGAACCCTTAAAAGTCACCCCTGAAAGCTTTTTTTGCCAATATCACTGATTGTTTTCAATATTTTGTAATATTATAAAACGGTAAGAACTCGCTACGTTTTGTTTCCAAGGGTTAAAACCTTATATTTTTCGAGCGTTTCGTTCGCGTAAAAAATTATAAAATTGTCATACAATTAAATATTGTTATTTAATAATAATGCCTTTTTAATAGCAAGTGATAAAAATCAATTGACTTATTTTTTTCACGTGTGAGCTATTCCTAATTGCAAGAACAACTCTAATCATGTAGACAACTCTTTATTTCAGAAATACATATTTACATTTTTTATTACTCTATATTGTGAACAATCCAGGCAATCTACAAAATTTAAATATCTATTTTGATAATTGGTTATGTGTGAGAGATTGTAATTTTATATTATTTCTTTCATGTAAATTCATATTGACCAAAATAAAATAACAGCATCTGATATTTCTCACGAAATTTGTCCTGTGTTTCTCTTGGGACAGTCATCAAATGAAAGCCTTCGTCCGCTGGAACAACTTGTCTTACGATGCTATCACATTATTCTCTCCATGAGCGCAGCAGAAAAACTGATGTTTCACTGCTGCTAGGGAGAAAAATGTCTTCTCACCAGGTTTGAAGCAATTCACGAGAAACTTTTCGAAGGTAACTTTTAAGGGTGGTTTTCACCCCTACAATTACATATGAAAAAATGACGCATTCCGGTCTACTGTTTGAATAGAATTCAGGGGTAGTATACCACCAAAATAAAATATTAGATTAAAATGCCGAAACATTTCAATCAATTAATTTTTATCCTTTTCTTTTAGATAACCATTATTTTAATTCGCTCGCAGACAAAACCTATATGGTTTTGTTGCGTCGTTTGGAATAAATTCTCTCCATTACAAAATTTTGGAAAAACCAGTGATGTTGACGAAAAAAGTATTCGGGGGTAACTTTTAAGGGTGGTTTTCACCCCTCCAATTACTTTTAATGCAGAATACGTTAATATTTACCTAATAATTTTCGTCAAGCCATAACATATGAAAAAATGACTCATTTCGATCTATATGGGTTGAATAGGACTAAGGGGTATTTTACCACCAAAATAAAATATAAGGTTACAACGCCAAAAATCGTGAATTAATTTTCATCATTCCTATTGGCAAACCGTTATTTGAGTTTTGTATAATAACTGTCTGATTTTTCACGCGAAGAGAACGCTCGTAAAGTAGTTGTTGTAATACTCACAAACAAAACCTATATGGTTGGTTTTTAAGGGTGATTTTCATCCCTCCAATTACTATCAATGCAGAATACGCTAATCGGTGTCTCATATTTTGCGCTCAGCTATAACATGAAAAAATGACGCATTTCTGTCTATATGGTTGAAATACTTGACCCCCAAAATAAAGGATTAGATTATAACGCCGAAACACGTCAATTGATTTTCATCATTGTCTGTTAATATATGTGTGAAATTTTTTTAATTTTTAACGCAAAAAAACGATCTAACCCCAATAAAATGTAGGAGTTGCAACTCTGGCAACGAAAACCTATACGGTTTTATTGCGCTTTTTGAAACTAATATTTTTCTTTTTTGCTTACCAAAAATATAGAATAGTACCAAAGACATACAAAGAAACGTGATCTTAGGGTGACCTTCATGGGTGACTTTCATCCTCTTAGAGTGCATGTCAGCAGATAAAAAATAGGTGTCTTATATTTTTCGAATAGGTACAACATATCCAAAATCGGATGCGGAGGTCTGGCGAGATTTCCTTGTGAGATTAACTGTTCGAAAAATGGCGTCAAGTAAATTGACTTTGCACTTCCCTCGCAACGCTAAGTTTAAAGATCTTGAAAATTTAAAAACTGAAATGTTTGATGAAAACTTTGGTAAGTTTGGAAACTTTGAAAAGCCTGAAGATTTTGAAACCTTACCTACGTCAAATTAATTTTTATCCTTTTCTTTTAGATAACCATTTTAATTTTTTTCATTTTTCACGCGAAAGAAACGCTCAAAAAGTAGGGGTTATAGCGCTCGCAGACAAAACCTATATGGTTTTGTTGCGTCGTTTGGAACAAATTCTCTCCATTACAAAATTTTGGAAAAACCAGTGATGTTGACGAAAAAAGTATTCGGGGGTAACTTTTAAGGGTGGTTTTCACCCCTCCAATTACTTTTAATGCAGAATACGTTAATATTTACCTAATAATTTTTGTCAAGCCATAACATATGAAAAAATGACTCATTTCGATCTATATGGGTTGAATAGGACTAAGGGGTATTTTACCACCAAAATAAAATATAAGGTTACAACGCCAAAAATCGTGAATTAATTTTCATCATTTCCTATTGGCAAACCGTTATTTGAGTTTTGTATAATAATTGTCTGATTTTTCACGCGAAGAGAACGCTCGTAAAGTAGTTGTTGTAATACTCACAAACAAAACCTATATGGTTGGTTTTTAAGGGTGATTTTCATCCCTCCAATTACTATCAATGCAGAATACGCTAATCGGTGTCTCATATTTTGCGCTCAGCTATAACATGAAAAAATGACGCATTTCTGTCTATATGGTTGAAATACTTGACCCCCAAAATAAAGGATTAGATTATAACGCCGAAACACGTCAATTGATTTTCATCATTGTCTGTTAATATATGTGTGAAATTTTTTTAATTTTTAACGCAAAAAAACGATCTAACCCCTATAAAATGTAGGAGTTGCAACTCTGGCAACGAAAACCTATACGGTTTTATTGCGCTTTTTGAAACTAATATTTTTCTTTTTTGCTTACCAAAAATATAGAATAGTACCAAAGACATACAAAGAAACGTGATCTTAGGGTGACCTTCATGGGTGACTTTCATCCTCTTAGAGTGCATGTCAGCAGATAAAAAATAGGTGTCTTATATTTTTCGAATAGGTACAACATATCCAAAATCGGATGCGGAGGTCTGGCGAGATTTCCTTGTGAGATTAACTGTTCGAAAAATGGCGTCAAGTAAATTGACTTTGCACTTCCCTCGCAACGCTAAGTTTAAAGATCTTGAAAATTTAAAAACTGAAATGTTTGATGAAAACTTTGGTAAGTTTGGAAACTTTGAAAAGCCTGAAGATTTTGAAACCTTACCTACGTCAAATTAATTTTTATCCTTTTCTTTTAGATAACCATTTTAATTTTTTTCATTTTTCAAGCGAAAGAAACGCTCAAAAAGTAGGGGTTATAACGCTCGCAGACAAAACCTATATGGTTTTGTTGCGTCGTTTGGAACAAATTCTCTCCATTACAAAATTTTGGAAAAACCAGTGATGTTCACGAAAAAAGTATTCGGGGGTAACTTTTAAGGGTGGTTTTCACCTCTCCAATTACTTTTAATGCAGAATACGTTAATATTTACCTAATAATTTTTGTCAAGCCATAACATATGAAAAAATGACTCATTTCGATCTATATGGGTTGAATAGGACTAAGGGGTATTTTACCACCAAAATAAAATATAAGGTTACAACGCCAAAAATCGTGAATTAATTTTCATCATTTCCTATCGGCAAACCGTTACTTGAGATTTGTATAATAATTGTCTGATTTTTCACGCGAAGAGAACGCTCGTAAAGTAGTTGTTGTAAGCCTCACAAACAAAACCTATATGGTTGGTTTTAAGAGTGATTTTCATCCCTCCAATTACTATCAATGCAGAATACGCTAATCGGTGTCTCATATTTTGCGCTCAGCTATAACATGAAAAAATGACGCATTTCTGTCTATATGGTTGAAACACTTTACCCCCAAAATAAAAGATTAGATTATAACGCCGAAACACGTCAATTGATTTTCATCATTGTCTGTTAATATATGTATGAAAATTTTTTAATTTTTAACGCGAAAAAAACGATCTAACCCCTATAAAATGTAGGAGTTGCAACTCTGGCAACGAAAACCTATACGGTTTTATTGCGCTTTTTGAAACTAATATTTTCATTTTTTGCTTACCAAAAATATAGATAGTACCAAAGACATCCAAAGCAACGTGATCTTAGGGTGAACTTCATGGGTGACTTTGATCCTCTTAGAGTGCATGTCAGCAGATAAAAAATAGGTGTCTTATATTTTTCGAATTGGTACAACATATCCAAAATCGGATGCGGAGGTCTGGCGAGATTTCCTTGTGAGATTAACTGATCGAAAAATGGCGTCAAGTAAATTGACTTTACACTTCCCTCGCAACGCTAAGTTTAAAGATCTTGAAAATTTAAAAACTGAAATGTTTGATGAAAACTTTGGTAAGTTTGGAAACTTTGAAAAGCCTGAAGATTTTGAAACCTTTGAAAATTGAATTTTGAAAGTTTTGAAAATTTTGAAATCTTTCAATATTTTGAAAAACCTGAAAATTGTGGAAATTTGGCAAATTTGGAAAATGTTGAAAATTTTGCTAATTTTGAATATTTTGAAAATTTTGAGAATTTTGAAAATAGTGTAACTTTTGGAAATTTTGAAAATTTTGGAAACTGAAAATTTTGAAAGTATAACAATATTGAGAATTGTAAGAATTTGAAAATTTAAACTAATTATTTCAAAAATTTTGTTTCAAGAATTTTGAGAATACTTGAAATTATTCCAAGTATTTCGAACAAATGTACGTAGAAATCTAAGTGTGGAATATATACTAATATCTGCATTGAATTACTGCGTTAGGATATGTATAAAAGTACCAGGATCAAAAAACTGAATCAAATCCTCTCCCATCTCCTATCGCCCCCTGCTACCCCCAACCTCCAGTTTTCAACCCCTACAAAAAAAAATCCAGAAATGATCAGGAGCCTTTGAAACGTCCAAAGCGAAGTTAAAGCGACTTTTATTTGTTTCGTTTTTTGCCTCTAGCACCGCCGCCACTGGATCGATTTGCAAAAACTACAAAGCTTTTTCGTCCTTGGCATAGTAGTAACCTTGTGTGAAAATTTCATCCGAGCGAACTTCATTTCAAAAGATCAATTTTTGGTTTCCTTTGAATCTTATTTTCACTCTGTCTTTTTGATCACCATCTACTATTTAGAATAAATTTAATAAAGTATGGAAAGACCCCTGCTAGAATGAGCCTGGTACAAATCATTGCCACCGAAAATTGACATAATTAGTTTTAAATCATAATAAGTTTGATTCATCAAACAATAGTGTGTAGGTGTCAAATATTGGACACCATTAATATTGGAATAATACGCTTTACGTGATGGATTGCCAAAATAGCTCCAGCATTCATCAAGCGCTCCTTTAATTAGGCCTTCTCCATTGCTGTTTCTACACGTCTGAACCAAAGCTTACTCAGAACTGGATAGTCCTTCGTTTGCATTTCATACGACATCCCACGGAGTAGTAGGGGTGGGACGCTATTCCTATACACACCATTCGACCTAACTAGTGGGAACACCACTCAGACAAGTTCCGACTAGTACGGAAGAGTACGCATTATCGTTACACTTTTGCATTATCTGTAAGAATATTTCTGTGAAGCACAACTTGAAGGTGCTTTGTAATGAGGACAGTGTAAAACGGCGCCATTGGCCATTAGTTATAGAGCCAAATTAACACCTTTCATACACACCTTCTTAGTCCATATTAGTGGGGTCTTCATATCCATAAGTCCTCACAAGACCGCGTACGCATAGCTTTGTACTAAAATTCCGGTGCTCTATTAGTGGGGACATCAACCAAGACATACACATTCTATAGCAGATTAGTAGTGGGGCGGGTGTAGAGGGAATCGTTAGATCAATTAGTTATGGGTACATATGCTTACTCAGTCTTGTGCTGTCGATTTTGTGAGGACGTCCTCACAAGAAAAGTTTGAGTGTATTTGGTAACAGAGGAGTGTATAGGTATTTTAAAAATAGCTCTGGAATGAGCCCCAAACGCTCTCGTTCTCCATGGAGCCAGTTTGAAAGTCCCCACTACAGAAGTAAATATGGCCTCACAACTCTGACGAAACCTGTATAGCTGTGTGTGTGTGTGTGTGTGTGTGTGTGTGTGTGTGTGCGTGTGCGTGTGTGTAGGCGGTACTATATTTGTGGCGACGTGTGTCTTACATAAAACTCTACTGTGGCTACTGCTGAAAATTGTGGCGACTTGCACACGTCGCCACAGACATTTTATGAAATTATTCGCTACTGGCTCATTTCAACCAATGAAATCGCTAGTTGACGAACGTCTGCCTGCCAGTCAATTGTGATCCTCAAGCATTCTTACCGTTGGATCAATTATTCTGCGCAAAAACCTGAAAAGTGTGTAAGTCGCCACAATTCGGTTTCATGAACAGTGCTCATACACACAAGATTGTGGAGACCATTTATTTTGCGACACGAGCGCCTCTTACTGAAACAATTTGGAATGATTTCACTGTTGCAGTTGTGTTTAATTTCTCATTTAATAGGAGAGAACACGTGTTATTAGTTCTGTGCGTGTTATGATTTATTATAATTTGTGGCAACCTCAGGTAAGTTGAGCTATATATTATTTATTTTCCAAGTAGTCAGGTATATCTTGATACATTTGTACAAATTAATTAACCACATCAAATGTGGTAGGAAAATAATAGTGATTGTATATCTTGCAAATGGAGGTTGGGTCAGACGCGGTAAAATGCCTTCTGTTAAAAGTCATAACAGTTTTACCAAATTAACCATATTTTTTGTCTCTAATACGTATTTATAGAGAGAGACAGCTCATTGTGGTTTCATCATGTACAAATTTCCAAAATGTAATACCCGAATGATGATTCGTACAAAAGATCATATGTCTGCAGGTAGGGATGGTTTTCAACACCAATAGTTTATTGGTTTTGGATACAGAATAACGTTCAGTGAAGACGAAAATTTTGAGAATCACTTAATGATTTTCATGTGCATTTCGGAAAATGGATTATTGAATGTGTATTTTGTAGTGATGAAAGAACAGGATGGTATACTCAATTTTTCCACTTTTAAGAACCATTTTCAAATGAGTTGAAGTATGATAACATTTTTTTATCAACAACTTAAACAAAGTAAAACGCATAATGCAGACCGATGTTGATCAGCCTGCTCACCTGCCTTCGATTTATTTATTAATGCACAAGTTCACAAAATCTGCTAATCAATCTGTAGTATTGATCTTTTGATCATGGAATCTTGGTCCAATAGTATAAAGTGCTAGACTGGCCATTTATTGTTTGAATCAAAGCGCGACACGGTCAATACTGTCACTTAGTAGGGCGGCCAATTTTCAGGGTTAAAAATGTAGATTGGGATTAATTGACAACAAACTGATGATTTTTTCGAGTTGCAATAAATATTAGGTATGATAATGTGCTTTGGTATCTTATATCTTGTATCGTACGGTTGCACGATGTTTTTCATACTGGTGTCGCTCCCAGTTTAAAGCTAAGCATTGCATCTTTTACAGTATATTCATCTTATTCATGATGTTATCAAGAACAAAAAGGATGGTGACCATGGCAAGGAACCAAGATAACCTGCCTTGTGAGTGTTTTTAAACCTTCTGGGGATGGAATGGGCATCACGCATATCTTCCAATGCTCTTAATACTTTGTACAGCCGAAAGATGAACAAAACTCAACTACTACCTATCACTGAAGATCTGTTAAAGCTTAACACATTCATTATTAACTCTATCAAAATGTACAAGGAACGCCTACAGACATTTTCAGATTCCGAAAGCTGGAAAATGCTAGCGTATTGCTTACTGGCAAGAATAATACTTTTTAATACGCGCAGATCTGGGGAAGCCGCAAGACTAACTATAGATAGCTACAACTCAAGACCTCAATGGAGTGAACAATCCACGACTGAGTTGAAAAATTCCCTAACACCATTTGAGGTGAAACTTGCCGAACGATTAGCGGTAGTAGAAATTCCTGGGAAAAGGGCCAAGAAAGTACCAGTTCTTCTTACGGATGAGGTTAGGGTAGCGCTCGACTTGTTAATATCAAAAAGAACAGATTGTGGAATATCTGGTAATAACCCATATATATTTGCTTGCTCGAAGAATTCGACTCAATCCTTAAGGGGGCATGATTATCTTTCGAAGATGTGCAAACTGGCTGACTTGAGAAATCCTGAACTGATTACAGCTACTAAGCTAAGAAAATATGTGGCTACCGTATGTCAGGTACTTATGTTATAAGAAAAATGTCATACATTATCTCAACCATTTTATGCAAAAGTCGATTGAATTCATTATATTGCTTTTCGGACACAATGAGCAGATTTTACTTTCAGTTTTAGTAATAATGCATTATAGCTGAATGCTATTCAAACAAACTTTATTTCCACACTACACTATAAAAACGATTTTTAAATTTTCAAAAACTACAGCACCTCTCTAACCACCCATGTGAGAGTCCATTGTATTTATGAACTGTGTGCAATAAATATTGAATCATGTTAGATACCTAACATTGATTTTTTATTATTGAAGTAAGGATAAATTTTGATATGGTGAGATGAGTGGCTAATACAAAGCTCAATCAATCCGGAACCAATTTAAATAACATGCCCGCTACCTAACTCACAGCATCGGAATCCATCACCAACTTGACTTTAGTATTACTGCCACACCCCACGTTATCTGCATCTTAATTTTTTCTTGATCTTAGGAGGTTGACGCCGGTTTATTTCCCACGCTACCGTCAAAGTTTTGTAATCGTGAAAAATGTCTAAAATGAGATATTGTCTTTTGGATGTTAGAAGTATATTAGAAAAGAACATATCACTCATTTCCATCGCTCTGTCGGTCTATCTACCTGTGTGCTTATCCTTGACCCCGCTATAATTTGGAAAGGACCGGACGGATTTCCATGTAATTTGCAAACAAGGCTACTACTGTGCCAAAGACAAAAATGGCCAAACTCCATAATTTAATTTTGTTCAAGCAATATTGTTTTTTACTGATACTTGTTCTACTTTGTGATTTTATACAAGAGTACAGAGGGGTACAAGAAATCGAAAAATGAAGATGCATAGATTTTTATTCAAAGTCCATTTATCCAGAATTGCGTGGGAAATACCGAGTCAATCTGCTAGACATCAATTCTTATAATCACATACCTTAAAGCATGTTATTCTATATTAAAGGTGTTTGATCTGACTGAAACCGAATCTGACTGGTTAGCAAGACATTTGGGCCACGACATACGGGTCCACAGAGAATTTTATCGCTTACATGAGAGCACCGTGGAACTGACCAAAGTTAGTAAATTGCTGATGGCGGTTGATGAAGGAAAAGTGAGCACCTTCGCTGGGAAGTCACTAGCAGATATAGACATAGACGGTAAATGATTTATCAACATATATAAGGTAATTTAGGCATATTTCTTATTTACTGGTGCGACACGATAGGTAAAAAGCACAATTCGTTATCGCTTCAATATGGATAAGTAAGGTATCAATTTTATTCCTTACAGTTTTATCACGACCCAACGACAAATGGGGAGAGTTTAGGCTTTTTTATTTATCAGCGCTTATTGGTAAATTTCAATCCAACTGACCACATCAATAGCAAATTTCCGTTCAAGTTACTTTGTCTAGGAACTAGAATAAATTATCAAACCCAATTAATAACAGGCGAAACTCAAATGTAATAAGTCAGCTGTGTTTGCAGATGTACCACAAATAGAGAGAAATGGTCACGTGTGTCTTACATAAAACTCTATTATGGTGACTGCTAAAAATTGTGTCGACGTACACAGGTCGCCACAGACATTTTATTAAATTGTTCGCGATAATTGTAAGCTGCAACCGAAAATTACCAACCCAATAAATAACAGGTTAGTTTTAGATGTAATAAGTCAGTTGCTTGCAGATTAACCACAAATAGAGGAAAGTGAGAATGGATCGGATTGTGAGGCAGAGTTGGACGGTCAAATTTCACCGCAAGATAATCCACCTACAGAAGTCTCAAAGAATGCATCTCCTACAGAACTCCCAAAGAATGCTTCTCCAAAGCGGACTTTACAGAAAAGAGGTAACCTTAGTTTGAATGCACAATTTATACCTATATTCATCTATGCTTCGGATGCATAAGCAATCGCGAATAAATCCTAATCTTATTCAATGAGGTTTTTTTGAGATTTCGGAATGTCCCAATCACGCAGCTTCATCTCATTAATTCCATTGGTTTACCTGACGCTCAGATGTCGATGGTACCGGTCCATTTATTTGTCGGTTCAGCGGCATTTGGCATATTGACTGTGGAGCAATAGCTTGTACTGATTTACTTTCTCGGGAACGCTGTAGCTTGAGCGATAGTAATTTTCTTACAACACGAATATTTTTCTGTCTTAGGTAAACAACCATGGACACCAAAAGAAAAGGAAGCTGTCCTGACCTATTTCGAAATTAATATCAGGAACTCAATAGTACCAGGGAAAATAGACTGCATGAAATTCATCGAAGCACATCCTCTGCTGGATCAGAGAGACTGGAAGAAAATTAAATATGCAGTGAAAAACGTCATAGATAAAAACAAAAAGCTAAAAAAGAAACATACAATGTAACAAGTTTTAATTTTGCGTTTTTTTTTTGCTCTGCAATACAGTAAGAAGGGCCTGTAAGGCTATTTGTTGAACTAATTACTAAACTAAATAGGTTTTATTATTATTCTATTCATTGTGTAGCTACTATTAACATGCACAAAATAAAGCCTTAGGGTATGAAGTTCATGAAAATTGGCCTTAAAGAATTATTCTAATAAATTGTTGTTTAATGACTCTAATCGACTGAGACTTCCTAGGAGAGACCAAGTTTTTCATACCTTTTCGCCAGGAAACAAACCAAGTCATAAAGAGGCCTTAGAGACCCTCCTTTTATAAAGATGTATCTGTACGTGTTTATTTTTTATTTAGGAAACTACTTTACGCTTCGTACAGCGTATATTTCTTGCACTGTAAGAGATTTTAAGTTTTTGGGTGGGTCTACATGGATCCACAGTGAGAATACGACTATTACCATAGATCAGACAATATCAACACGACCGCACATAAAACCTGATTTCATTGGTTGCTAGGTGCTGTGTTATAATAACCGATCCGTATGCGCGTATCTTTGTGGACTCACCCTGTATATTTTTTATGTTGTCTGATTGTGTTCACTGACATTTACATGTTAAAGTTTTGGATGACATTAATTGTTTAAAAAATAAAGAATTAAAACTATATTGCGCCTGCCATCAACCGCATTTCATCCTCATACATTTTTGGTATTATCTTGAAATACCCAGGATTCTTGAAGTACATCCTACCGTATACGTATCCTTAAAGCCAATGAGAGTATTGTTTGATATGTGCTTGAATATCACTTATATATCATTGTGGCGACAAACCGATATGACAACATTGCAAAAACTAAACACTCCTATTATGGAGACCTGAAGGTACACACAGCTCATCTTTCAATATTAGTGGCTACTCATACACTCTGTTCACAAATGTAGGTTGTTATGACACCCGTAGCCACAATATAATTTAGCTGTTTTTAATTGTTAAACGGAGTGTATCCCGTTTTTATTGATACCAGACTACTGCGCAAGCACTGTAGAATGTTCAGGAGAAATTTCATCGATATCGCCACAATTGAGGACTATTCACGCGTCGCCACAAGAGCCTAGGCGCCTGTATAGGTGCGTGTGCGTGTGCGTGTGCGTGTGCGTGTGCGTGTGCGTGTGCGTGTGGGTGTGCGTGTGGGTGTGGGTGTGCGTGTGTGTGTGTGTGTGTGTATGTGTCGCTCTGGCTATCGGTATGCCCGCTAATCCTTGGCCCGTCTAAATGTAGGAAAGTATCGCTCGGATTTGCATGAAATTTGCATACAAGGTAAGTACTATGCGACGGAAAAGCTTTATAGTTGTTCAAAATCGGCGGTGGGGCTAGAGGAAAAGGAGGAAAAAAATACAAATATGTCAAACTTCGTTTGTTGGAGGTGATTTGGGGGTTGTAGGGAGTGTGAGAGGGTATATATCAAATTTTTGATGTCAGTATATTCATACACTTCCACCCTCGGTGATTCTACGCACAGCTATTAGACATCTTTCATACATCATATATTTCCCCCATACATTTAGCATTTAGAATGAGAAATATCTTCGAGACGGGTGTCCGAGCTCTGGGCTCACCAGCGTAATAGTCTCACCGGTGAGTGTCATACCGTCACTTCCATTGCCCTGCTGTCAAGAGTCTACCATGTGGATACATCAAGCGCTGAGGTATGGGAGAGACGAGACGTTGCCAGATGTAAGGTACGGGTACGGGGCAAGAAAAAATTGTCTATGGGCTAAATGTATGGGCCTGCTTAACTGACTGGTAAGTTTAGTTGCTCTGTTATATAGGTTCGCAGCTAATTATTTTCTCAAAGGGTTGTGCCAAATTTAATGCTTTATGAAGTGATGACGGCGTTGCGGGGATGCAGAGTCAACCTACTTGACGTCATTTTTTATTTGAGACCAGTATGCGGTGTGGCGTTATTATCGCAATGGGCTTAGCACTCGTACAATACGTCATTAATACCTTACTATTTCTAAAAAGAGAGTTAAGTGGATTATAGCTGCATTTCCCACGCAAAGCTGTCATCAATTCATGAGAAACCATGTTTTGCATAAGATAGCTCTTTTTAGAAAGGGTTAAACTACAAACATTTATAACAAATAACTGACATGGTCAGTCTAATAGGCCCATACAATAAATCCCCAGTCCCCACGCATTCTCCGATGAAATGGTGTAGTAATATTGGTAGGAGAGAAGAAGCCTAGCAACTGGACGACCTTTTACAGTTTTCTCCCACCCAACACTATACTGATATTAGGTATCTGATTATTGAATAAACCAGCTCCAACGATGTGAGTATAACATATTGTTTCCAATTGATCTTGCACCGATCTGGTGCATACAAGTTGTATATAGACCCGCAAAATTAGTGGTTCCGAATCTAACTTTTCATATCATGGAAGTCAACAGCGGTCTGGCTAGGGAGACCATGACAACTTCCCCTCTCCCTTTCAAGACTCTACGTTCTAAAATTTGGATATTCTGGATTTTCATGATCGATTTTCAAAACCAATAAAACTTTATCTGTGGCATAATGGGAGTCTTGTGTTAAAATTTCATCAAAGTCAGAGCAGTACTTACCAAGTGTTAGAGAGATAAACAGACCGATAAACAGACAAACCGATAAACAGACAGATCGACAAACAGACACGCCGTCAAACAGACAGACCGACGTAAATGAGTGACATGGTTTTCAGTGATGTATGAGTCATGTTACATTCAAAAACCATTTTTGCGATTGCAATTGTTCCTTGCCAATTGGCGTATGAAGTAAAGCTGAGAAATAGAGCTCATTGGCACCTACGTCTTCCCTACGCGTATCTGAAAACTCTGGTACCAAATCCTTTCCGCATAATAAACAGCACAAGACTTTTCTCTGACAGAACAATCTTTTTATATTACCACTGATGGCGGCTGACATGACGTGACGCGTTAGCTTTATGGTAGTGGCGGCGGCGTTATTACAAATTCTTTAATATCCTCTCTCGCTGACATGCGGTGGCGAGTATTTTTTCCATTCTTATTGGAGACGAGTATAAAGGGACAGACGTGAAAACCCGTTTATTTTCCTTTCAATTCTCGCCTCTCCTAAAACGACTGGAAGTCTTGCGAAATTCTGAATTTGGGGTGGCTGAAATTTTTTATACCCCATGAAGCTTGACAAGATTCCTTTAATTATGGAGTTTCACCAATACATCTAATTGTCACATTAGCTCAGGATATTTAGGATATCTTTGTCGACATTGTGATCACCAGATCTTAAGATTCCTTGTTAATTAATAGAAGGCTGATTTTGGGTATGGTTTCGATATAAAGTTCATATCGAAATACTGGGAAAACCACTGATAATACGAGTAGGCAGTTTTTCAAGATGTTTTTAAGTTAATCAACTACTCGATGGGGCTGCTACGTACTAACAGCTTACTATTAAAGTCATTACTAAAACTTTTTCTTTTTAAATTCATCAAACTCAAAGCTGAATTATTACAGTCATCTCAACCAAAAATTGCACTTAGGGGAATATCATCAAGGAAATACAAAAATACTTAGTTTTGGAAAAGTTACAATCTCAAAGTGTTTTTCGGGCGAAGCATGCTGAAAACCTCATGGTACACGACAGCTGAAAAGCTGGAGACGACGTAGGGTTGGTCATAGTCACAGAGGCGGAAAGCAAACGGATCCTATTCAGCCTGTACTTAATTCATAGGTGTATAACCTTTGCATATCAGCTGAGAGCACGGTGAACAATAATTGTTGTTCTTCTGATTGACGATTAGCCTGTCATTACCTTATTGACCTGTACAGCATTTAGAGAGATTAACGTAATCTAATTTCGAATGGTGCAAGATTAACAACATTTTCAATCCCTTTTTGTATTTTGCAAAGGATGATTATAATCATACATTCACGATTACGTTTATGGAACAATTTAACATTCAGAACAAGCGTTTATTGTCTAACTTTAAGGTTTACAAACACATGATCTATACAAAGGCATCGCACAGTGCGGCTAAATTTTGTAGTGCATCTGAAATCAATATTAGACATAGAACAAGTTGTCAGAAAAAGTCTCTTAAAACAGCATCTTTGGAGTAGATAATAACACAAATTGTGGTAGCGTTCAAGGCTTTATTTAGATTTTGCTTTATTGTTTATTTTCTAAGCTACTGCTTGTGTAGATTGACCAACAGCTGAACTCCGCCATTTTCAACTTATTATTAATGTTTTTGCTTGTAATGATGTCATAAATATCTGTTATGTTAGGTTATCATCCGTGGAATATCCGCCTTGTTGACCGCCAGACTAATATGGCGGCGATAAAATTAGATTGACGAAGTACTTCAATATTTTTTCAACATCTTGTGCTAGTTGGCTACAGAATAAACACACCAGCTTATGGGTTAAAGAGAGGACCGGTCCAGCCCGTGGCTTGCGCTTCCTCCAGTAGGCTTGAAAGCCTAAACAAGGTAATTGGGTTCCTGCCAAACATCTTTAACCCCAACTAAGTTGACCGGTCAAGTAAGTCAGACTATTGATCTAGAGTAGAGGTTCTATATTCAAATTTCAATCTGTCTGGGGTCGCTCTAAGAATTTAGGTTAAAGTACACGTGAAGCCCTAATCGATGTTCGCCAGACCTACAGGTGACTAATAAAACTTTTGCATATGTCCGTTATATGTTGCTAGCTATGATATCCCAAGTGAGCAATGTTTTATCTCGAGGTTCTGTTGTACATCCGGTAGCGCGTTTGTTTCCCGCTTCCGGAGTTCAAATCTTGCATATCCTCTGCAATGTCTTTTAGACAGGTTTTGCTATATAACATTGCCTCTATTCAGTGTTCTGAAAACTATTTCAGTTACTTCTGCGGAGGTAGATAACAAAACGGCAACCTTTTCAACCATACAGTTAATCATGATAAATTATAATGGTGTTTTCTTATTATAAGTTGCTTATTCTTACTCCATTCCATACTCTAACAAACCAGAGACCCACTACAGTGAAGAGTGACGTGGCACGCAAATTGCAATGCAAAAAATGACATCGGAATGACAGAGGTGCGTTCGTAAATCACTTGGTAATGTAATACCGTACATAGTAATGGAATGTAGATTGACAAATGAAATTTAACTCTAGAACACTGTGAAACCTTATTTTTAAAACGCATAAACTATTAGTGGTGTAATGATACTTGAAGACAGCCGACTAATTTCTAACCAAGTCTTCTGCAACCATTGTAATTATTATAAGAGACCCATGAATACGAGGTGGCATTTATAATGAAAAATATATATTCTGCCAATTTTGAGCGGTTTTTGATAACCGAATAAAATAAACAAACAATGAACCAAGAGAATGGCAAGTGACAGATCTCTTATTCCCAAGGTTTTGAGCTCGGGAAGAAAAGCACACTTTTGACGTTTCAGAAGGATTACTTTGTTCTATTTCCGATTGCAAGTAACAGGTACATCAAACAATTACAAACTGTAAAATTGTTACAGTGCCACGCCTTTTTTTGGTTAATTAATAAAACACAATGATAAATACTATCTAACGGTTGGTCCAAGCAAAACAGTTGTCTAGAGGCGTGCAAATTTAGGCGCTAGCTCAATAAAGCGGAGTGTTGGAGGGGGTTAAGAGCGCCAGTGACTTATTGATCGACCAGCCAAAGATTGCTAGGGACGAAAGGGGGAAATGCGATGAAAAAACCTTACCATTAGACGATTTTATATGGAGTCATAGGCGGAGATCGGAGAGACTTGAATTATTAATTGAATTTATATTTTATTACAACTGGTAGTATTAATATTTTTTTGCGATTCATAATGACGTGATACCAAACATACATTATAAGAAATAAATATACACAAACACTGAATATTGAGAACAAAATAAATATATTTTTTAGGCAACAAGTAATATTCCTATGTACGCATTATGATTGAACAGCAAAACAAATTATGCATTCTTCTAAAATAGAATACAACAAGTCAAAAATATCTGACTGAATAGAAAAATATAGGAAAACAAAAAGTAATTTCTTGATGAAATAACCCATAAACAACACATAGAATTAGACTTTCTA